AGGAAGGATGCAAAGTGGTGCTAGGGGTGAGTTTCGGTCATTTAGCTAATTTTTCATGTATTGAAGGTGCTGAAAAGCAGGTAAGGGAAGGCTTGACTGCTTGCTGAACACCCCATGATACTGCTGGTCACACAGCCACAGTGCTTTGTTTAAAAAAAATCCAGATAAAGGGTTCCAAAATGATCATCTCTTTTACTGACAGCCATTGCAGACAGCAAATCTACCTGCTGAAATGAAATTAGAAGCTGCTCACAAATCTCAGAAAGTACAGAGCTGTACCTCCTTTTCAAGGAAAATTTTGCTCTCACTTTGGAAGTGTAAATTGAAATCTGGGGATTTCTGTGTTGTTTTTCTTGTGCTGGTGTGTGTGTGTATGGCCTTTTCTGTATGTTTTTCATAAAATTGCTATTACCTGGATCCAGCAAATTGGGCAGAGTATCCCAAAGGAACTGCTGGGCAGCACAAGTCAGGGACAGCTGCTTTCCCTTGGGTGCCAAATTGGAGAATTGTGTGAGGGCTGTTCAGGAGATAAGGCTGGTGAGGTACCACAGAATATTTTTATTTACAGCTACAACATCCTGCATTTTTCCAAGCAGAGCAGTTACAAGCTGCTCTCAGGTGGTGTTTGCAGCAGGTTACAGGGTTAATGGAACAGAAACCAACGAGTTGTGTTGAAAAAACACATTTTTATCACAAACCATGAACTATTGAACACCTCCAAGACACCTACCAAGGCCAGATTTGTATGCTTTAAGACAGAACAGATCCTTGCATATACAACAACCACCAGTCACAGAGCTGCAATATTATTATCAATGTAGAAATTCATTCTGGAGTTTAATGATCAAGACAATATCAAGGGAAAAGATGAACTGAAAATTTCCTGGCGTGCTTTCTAATCTCAAAATAACAAACTAAATAACAAACTACTCTTTAAAAATGTGTGCTTGGGAATAAATAATTGATTAGTATTGCTTAGCAGTAAGTGCATCTATTGCTTTGATTTCATCCACTAACATAACCTCAGTGAAAGCCTCAGTTCATTGTTTCTGCTTGTGTATTTTAAAACATTTGGTGTTATTTAGGTTATTAGTACAATTGTGGTTTAGGGATAAAAAAAGAAATAGGTTGTGAAATAATGTGACTACAAGGAAGCTTTTTGTTAACATTGCAAAGGAAAAATAAACCCACATCCCTGGAAGGAAGAGACAGCTTTGATCATCTGAAAAATCAAAAAGATCCTTTTGGAACAGGTACCCTGGTAGTGATATGCGGAGTGCTGGCTCACCCAGCCCCCTGTGCAGGCTAATTTATTAAGCACTGTGGTACAAGATTTGGACAGCTGTGTTGGCAGGGCTGTGGATTTGCCTCTGAAAGAAGGCATTTCCATGTAGCTTGGGATTTGAAAAGTAATTCTCCACAGAATGGTGCTATTTCATGTTTTCCTTCCAATTTGGGATGAAAATATTGTCAAAGCACTGAGATTGTGCTCAGAGCTAATGAGGGAGAAGGTTGTTCCCTGTTTGTTTCTTTGTTTATAATTCTTCTTCCAGCTGCACTTCTGAGGCTTCCCAAAGCTTTTCTGTTTGCAGGAGACACCTCCTGTCCCTTCCATCCCAAAGGTGTCCAGGAGGAAGCTCCTGCAGAAGGCTCCCCCCTTTCCCCATGGGGTGATGGGGATTGCTCTGGGTGGAACCTCGCTGTCCCCACTCCTGCCCAGTTTCACTGGGGTTTCTGCAGGGTTTCTGCACATCCCTGCTCAAACCTTCCCTGCCTGGCCTGGCCCTTGTGGCTCCACAGCTGCCCTGATGCCCACGCTTCCAGAAAGGGCTGCAATCACTGGAGTCACTCTTGTTTCCTCAGAGATTTCTGAGCCTTCACCCACCTGAGTGCTGTGCATTCACAGTTGCTTCTTCACTGAGTGTTCAGAGGAAGTTATTTTTTGGTGCAGTAACTTTGTAAGCTGATAATTAAAAAGTCCCTAAAACACTTCTTTTTCCTAAGCTTCAGCTGCGATTTCTAAAGTTTGGAACATAACCAATACACACACTTTAAATTTTAGTAGAGCTCCACTTTGTAACTGCATTGCTCTTCATAATCTGTTCAGATTTGTATTGATCTCCTGGTGTTAACTGAGTTCCTGGGTGTGATAACATTTTGTATTGGAGGTTGAAATGTTTTGTAGAAAAAAATGTCAATGTGCCAAGAGACCTTGACCTCAGCACGAGCAGTACAGAGGGGAGAGAGCCATAAACAAAATTTTGGGACAGGTTACAGACTTTTTTTGTCCTGTGTTTTTATTGATTACAAATATTACTGACTTTGTGGCAATGCAGAGAATAGAAGGGACTAAAAGCTCCCCAGCCTGCTTCCAGGTCTGCAGGATCCTGCTGAAAACACTGCTGTGGCACAGAGATTTTGGGGAGCTGACAGTCCCTCGTGCTGGCCTGCAGTCAGGTTATGGAGAGATCACATTGCTAAAAGTGTGGATTGAACTAAATGAATTACCAATGAAACATGCTGGCTGCTTTGGTTTGTGTCTGACCAGGGAAAAGATGAAAATTTGGTTTAAGTTCTCAGAAGGGGTTGGTTCAATATCCATAACTGGAGGGATTTTTTTCACTTGCTTGGCAAAACATTCTGTGTATCTGAGAGCAGAGGGAATGTGCTAAGCACAAAGGTAAGGAAACTGCTGGAAAAATAGGTATTTTCTGTGGTGTGGATTGTGTGCACGGCCTCCCCAAAGCTGCAGGGGCTGATAACTGATCTCCCTACACTCAAGAGTCCAAAACAACATCACTGGTAATTCTTTGTACAACACAGCTGCTGGCAGCAAGCTCTGACAACTCTTGTTATCAACAGCCAAGTGAAAATCATGCTGGTTTTCCATCAGCAGCCTTGCTTACTGGGGAAAATGGCTTTTAAAAAGTTTTATGCTATTTTTGCATTAGGTTCCTTTTTTTTTCAATGAGAAATTGCATTTTCTCAGGATTAAAAAGCTTACTTTGTAATAATCGTGAATTTTTCATCAGCCTCTCACCACTGAGCACTGAAATATTAAGCAGCTTCAAAACTCGTGGGGAGTACTGTCTGTTTTCTAGATTTTGCTTTGCCCCATCCCCTCATGGTCAAGCTCATGTGGCTCTTCCCAGGTGCCTTTCTGCAGCTGTTTAATCCTCAGTAAATTTCTGTTACAGCTTGAGAGTCTCTTCCATCTGTTTAACCTTCACCTAGTCCTTGCCTGGCTGCATTTCCTCTATGTGAATGTTATTTTAGCTGGCCTGTTCTCAGATTTTATCCAGCCTGATTAGAGATTTCTGAGCATTTACCAAAGTAGGGGGGGTGCCTGGACATAGAGATGTTTTAGAAATAGCACAGAAATAGAGGGCAATGTCAGCTGTGTGAGTTGTCAAGGCATCTCCTATAGATCTCCACAGCCTCAGGAGTGCTGTTGGTGTTGAATGTGATTTTCTGCATGACCAACACCTCCTGCTTTCAGCTGCCTGGCACTTCTGGGTGGCTGCAGCATCTTCTGCTCTGAGGCTTTCTCCTGAGTGCAGAGAAACCCAGACTATTGACTTCTTATTCTGCACTGAGTAGAGAACCCTGAGCACTGATTGCTGCTAAAATACTAACTGAGCAATGGAAACCAAGTGGAATTTAAGAAAAATCCCAAACCAAAAACACCACCAAAAACCCTCCACAAACAAAATGATGCCTGCATGGAGCACTAGTAGTAAAAGTTTATGGTGAACTTCAGGAGTCTGGCATGGATAAACCCAGTTTAATTTGTGTCTAGCTGCTGCCTCTCAGCAAGCTATTTAAAAGATTAATTTAGAATTGTCTGTAGAAAACTCCTCTGCACAGTCTGTGTTGTTTTGGAGTGCTCTTTGCAGCCTGTGATTTCTGAATTGCCTCTCTGGATTTAAGCAGGGCTGGAAGTGTTTGAAGCGAGTCAGAGTTGCCCTTCGTGGGTTGGTGTGCTTGGGGCTTCTCCCCTGCCAGGGGATGGCAACAGCTCTCCAGTGCTCCAGGCAGCTTCATGAGAGAGTTTATTCCAAAGTTACTAACAGAGGAGAAGGGAAAGAGGGGCTCCTGTCCCAGGGAGGGTGTCTGGGAATCCTGCTGAGAAGGGACTGCAGCCCCTGAGCTGTTTGTGGCAGCGAGTGGAGCTGATGGGTGATGTGGAGATGATGGATGGTGTCAAACTTTCACTCCCTGGCAATTTCTCATGTCCCAGTAAAAACACAGCTAATTTAAGACAGACTTAAATCAATCTTTTACCATCATCATTTGTTTTCAAGAGAGAGTGAGCAATTTACTGTCTGTGCTTCCTAAGAGGTTCCAAAAATAATTTCAAGTGGAGGTTTTGCTGGACTCAGAGAAACCAATGATCCACCTGCTGTAATCCCAGCAATGCAAAGATCAATGAAATGTGCCTGAGCACGTGGGCTGATGGAGCAGGACCTGGCTGAGGGATTGGGAGAGCTCTGATGTTCTTTCTGCTCATCACTTTTATTCTCTGTCCCCTGCTCCAGCCCCTCTGGCAGTGCTTTCAGGCAGATCCTCACTGCTCACGGCTCCCACCAGCTCTCAGACGGGGAGAGCAGGACCAAGTAGTGCCTGAAGGATTTGAGGGGGGTTAAAAGAGTAAATCAGGGTGGGCAGAGCTGGTGGTGTGAAGAGGAGGAGTTACTGTGGGCAATGTGCTCTGCTGGGGCTCGGCGTGGGGCAGCAGGAGCTCACATCCTCACCAGCCCTCACGGATCTGAGTCACCTCAGACACTTTCTGGTGCTTCCACTCTTGCCAGGACACAGATTTCTTCTCTTTTTGTCAAGCTGTGCAATGGGAAGGAAGGAGCCATCATCTGCTGTGTGCACATGTGGGGAATTGGTCGTTCAGCTTCCAAAACCACAGATTTGTCAAATCGATTTGCTCCTTGGAGCCCTTTTCCAGAGCTTCCCTCTCATGGATCTGAGCGATGTCACAGGTGATCTCGTTATCTCCCCTCGCTATTTTTTCCCTCTTGGAATCCAAAGGAAGGAAGGAAGGGGAGCATTTCACTGAGCTGTTTCTTCAGAAATACGTAGATGATGGGGTTGTAGACGGTGCTGCTCTTGGCAAGGATGGCTGGGACGATGCTGGCTGCAGGGGTGATGAGGCCAGGCTGCCCAAAGGTGGCCATGAGTGTCACAGCTGCCTAGGGCAGCCAGCAGAGGAGGAAGCACACCACCATCACCATCATCATCGCCATCATCATCACCATCACCACCATCACCATCACCAGGATGCGCTGCTCCCTGTGCATGCTGCTCACCTGGGTGGGACAGAGACACAGGTCAGGCAGTGTGAAATAAAGTGTAAAGCGAAGCAGTTCAGGTGACACTGCCTGCTCTGGGGACACTGGGGGTGCCTGGGAGCTCCTGGGGTGGCTGCACTAAGGGCAGGGCTGTCAGTGTCCCCTGAAGTGCCCTGGCTGCAGAGGAGCTGCCTGGCGTGGGCAGGGCTGCTGTGTGCTCAGTGTCCCTGATAGCTGGGCTCTGATGCCTTCCTGGGCCACCTAAAACCAGAGGCCAGACAAAATCAAGGGAATAAAAAGCAGTTACATTTAATGAAGGGCCTTCAGGTACATTTAGGGCAGACAAATTTCCCCAAAAATGGACAATGGGTCACGGGTTTTCACACTTTTATCGGTTTGGTCCATTTGCACTTTGGGGGTTCATCTTCCAATTCCAGCTTCAGGTAATGAACTCATTTACCCCAAGTTTGCTGCCCCAACTCACTTTTGTTTCCATCTCTCAGGCCTGAGGCAGTGAGGTGTCCTTGATTGCCAGGCCTGGAGAGGAATTGCTGTGTCTGAGCAAAATGGGAAAGCAGCAGCTCACACTGTGTGTGGAGTTTGGAGTTACACACTAAAGAACTGCAGGATTACAGATATGTGAAAAGTATAAAAGCTAAAATCCAAAGGCATCAGCAGCACCAGCAAAAGTGCTCTTCATCTGCACCAGCCTTCTCCATTTTAGTCCAAATCCCAGCTTTTAGCTGGAGTGTCCTGGGGAGGAGGAAGGAGAAGGAGGAATGTGCCCTGGTGTGCCCAGAGGAGAGCAGCTCCCAGAGCTCCCAGCACCACTGCCCAGGTCCTGCCAGGAGAGTTCCCCAGCAAGGATGAGGTGCCCTGTACCCACTGGGGCAATGAATAACAGGGGGGAGAAAGAACTTCCTCCCCTAAATCCATGGCAAAAGGCAGCACTTGGATTAAAACCATTTACACCACGCTCCTCTTCTGGACCCACACTTACTTGAAAGTAAATCCCCCTGCACATAAACACTGCTGGCCTCTGCCTCAGCCTTGTTTCCTCGTTTTCAGTGTGTTTTGAAAACCAGACCTTTTGGTGGCTGCTGTGCAATGCCTGCCCTGAGAAGTGCTGCAGTAAGCACGAGGAATTAATCATTACAAGTGGTTTTATGGGGAATCCGCTGGGATGTGTTTGAGTGTTGGAAGCCACCTTGAGACTAATTAAAAAACCTAACCAAAACTGTTCAAAAAATAGAACATATCTGTAATTGCCTGCTGAGAGAAGTCAAATACCAAGTACTTTATAAATATCTTGTTAATGTGCAAATGAAATCTTTTATGACACTTGTCTGTGATTTAAAAGGGAAAAAAAAGTGGTATTTGCCACTAGGCAAATAAAGTTGTTAATCAAAATATTTCCATTAGTGAGAATTGAATATTTCACTCAGAGCCACCCACAGGCATCAGTAGCTCAGATTTATTCACAGACATCTAAGAGTGAAAGAGATGAAAGAAGATTTATCTTCTTGCATTGTATCTCATGCAGCTGACAAGAATTTTGTACGGCACATTGCCTATGTGTTGATTTTTTGAGTGTCTGCCACACCTTGGTATTTCACTCAGGCTGTGTGATGAAGCCCAAGCAGCTGGACTGGGGTGGAAACGAGGGTGGAGACAAGAGAGGGGCTGCATTTTGCACCGTGTGTGCTTGGTTTTTTGAGGGCACTGAAAGGCACCAGCACCAGCTGCCAGGGCTCTGAATCCCACACAAATCCCAGTTCCTCTGTGCCTTCCTGAGGTCCTCCTGTCCCCTCCCCATGCCAGGAAACTCCTGGGGCAGGTGGTGGGTGATGGCTCGCATGTGGAGCACCTCAAGGAAAACCAAAAGCTCCTTTTGCTTCTATTGATTTCTATCCATTTCAGAAAAGGAAAACAAACAACCTCTTCCTTCAGGTAAGGTCAGAGAGGACAAATGTTGTACTGGTGTCTTCCAGATGGAAATCAGGCTGGTGTGAGGCTGGGCATGGGAGGAGGGCTCTGGTGTTTAAGAACCTTGAGCTGGGTCCCATGGAGCTGTGTGATGTTTGCTCCCCACATCTCTGCAGCTCCTGCAGGGTGGCACAGGGAGGAACAGCTGCTTCTGGCCACTTTTAAAGCCAGTGGTTCACTTCTGCTGCTGCATGTTCCACCTGGGCAGTGCTCCCTTCTCAGGTAAATTCCACCAGGTGTCGCTCTCTTGACTTTTGAAGTGTTTTATCCTTTCCTAAAAAAAAAAAAAAGAGGAAAGTTTGCAGTTTTAAGACTGCTGATGCCAGGGAATGGCTCCATGGGTAAGCAAGGAAAGGTTTCAATTTCCTTGCCAGCAGCAGGAAATTATTATTTTCATCCTATGAGGCCAGAAAGTTTGAATATCCTCCCACTTCTATAACTCTCCTTGAAGCATTTTTGCTTTCAACTACAAGGCTTCCTTGGTCAGTCAAGGAAACCTGAAATATTCCTATTTTGGCCCAGATGCAGAAAACTTCTGCAAAACTAAATCAAACCCAGCAACCTTGAAATGTTGCTGCACCCCATCAGCAGATGGTGACTTGGCTGTACCACGGAACCGTGGGCTGTGCCTGGCATCACATCACCCTCTGGAGGTGGACAAAGCAAAGAGCTGTGTGAAAATGATGCTGATGAATGGTGCTTTCAGTTTAATTTTGTCTTGATAACTCCCAGGAAAGCTAAGAGCAGAAGTGTGGCCCCTGCTTGCCTTTGGCTGCTGGCCCTGGGGATTGGAAAGTCAGGATTGGAAAGTGAGTTCAGGCTGCTCCTGGCTCAGGGTCAGCAATTCCTCTGCAGGGGTTTGGCACAGGAGCACCCTGACCTGCTGTACACTGTCCTTTGCTTCTGCCTTGGGCAAAAATCTGATCCTCAATTCTGCCGTGCAAGGAATTTGTTTTCAAAATCTCACTGTTTCTGTAGGTTTTGGTATAGAAAACAGCCATAAAAAATGTGCTTTTATAGCCTTTGTGTTTTCTTCACTGGAAATCGAGTCTCTGCTTCTTCTAAAATGATCTTTTCAGCTTCCTAAAATTTATGGTGCCCCTGTATCACACCCTGTATGTTGAATGTGTGGCCCAGGGTACTGAGTTAGCAGGACTGGGGAGCTGGAAGCCCTGGCCCCATCTTTTCATTGCTCTTACAATGGGTTTTTTTCTCTGGCTTCCCATGGGTGCTGATTTTTACTGGCTAAGTTTCTTTTTGTTTTCTCCTGCAGAGAAACACAAGGTGGTGATTCAGCCTGCAGAGGTGGTTCATTTGCCTTTTCTTAAAATTTCACTGACCATAATTGGGACTGTACACAACCACTGCAGGAGCAGAAATGCTCACAAACAGTGTTTGTGTGGTGTCCCTGGGATGTCACAGGCAGAAGGATGTGGATGAGTGATTAATACAACAAACAGTAAGGACAGGTGTAAACAGAGGTCACTGTGGACACATCAAAGCCCTGGCTGATATTGCTGGCACAGAAAGAACAGGGTCATCACTTCACTGGGAAAGTAAAATAGGTGTTTTCAGCACTGGGTATGGAAATTGCTCTGTCACATCCAGGCCTGGGGAGCAGAGCTGAGCCACCAGGGAGGTTCAGGAAGGTCCCACAGTGAAGAGCTCCTGAATCTCCAGGCTTACCTGAGAATCTCAGCTGAGTGACTGTGTTTTCAGTCCAAATGTGTTATTAATTTTTCTAGTCAAACATTTCCATTCCCCCTGCCTCTTTCCTGTGCTGTTTTACCTTTTTGTGCCTCCGTTACTGACACACAGTTGGGGTTGCCCTGAGCATCTCCTTGCTCTTGAAACACTTTGGAGAGCTCCACCTCACTTGGCTGTGCCAGGGAAAGGGAACCAGATGACAAATGTGACCATTCATGATGTACCAAATGTGTTCCAAATCCCACTGATGCTTCTGCCTCAGCTTCAAACCTAAATCCAGGGTGTGTTTGTGTGCCTTAATGAGCTGGGTTTGCACCAAAATGTCCCAGATTTGCCTGTTCATACACCAGCCCCAGTCTGGTGGGTCCAAACAAAACTTCTGTGCTCCTGGTGCTGCCCTGCACTAAGAGCTGGGTGAAGATTTGCCTCTGCAAATCAGCTCTTCTTTTCCCGTAAATGAAGGCTGTGGAAAACCTCCTGTGGTAAGTGAATGAACAAGAAATGTCAAAGTTGTGAAAAAATGAAATTTAAAATGTTCAAACCGTGGAAATTTGGCCAAAAGCACTCAAAGCTGGCTGTAAGCAAAGGAGGGTGGTCTCAGGCTGGCAGGGGACCACGTGCAGGGACCATCCACTGCTGATGGCTCTCTGGAAGCTGCTGTTTCAGTGTTAACACAGACCTCAGCCAAAGCTTGTGGGGAGGAGAGAGGAGAGCAGGAAGAAATCCATTTCCATCTGCTGGGCTGATGTCTTTCACCTCTGCAGCAGTATTTTTTCTTGTTTCTGAGAGGGCTTGGAAGGTGCTAGAGGAGTCAGTGAGGGCCCTGTGGTGTGCAAGGGAGATCTCTGTCTCAGATATCCTTTGAAGTGCTCACAGCATCCTCTCACACCCACCTCTGTCCTCTCAAGGGTGAACCACGTGATTTAAGATCAAAATTGAAATCTCAATTCAGTCCCTCGCTGTTATAAACACAGAGGGCTGTAAGGAGACGTCTTGTAATCACTAAAGGGGGTACTTTTTAATTTCAAACACCAGAATATTAAAATGACTCATCCTGGCTGTTGTTTGCAGAGGTTGGAGCACCGATGCAGCGCTGCTGGGGGGTTGCTGGGCTCTACACGTTCTTCTCAGTCCCTGAGCTCCCTGTAACACAGCCAGGGTGATTCCAGGCTTCCTGTGCAGGGATGTTCTTTGGAGTTATGACTCTGCACAGCCCATCTGTGAGTGAGAATGGTTATTAAAACATCTCAGCATCTCTGATGTTCACTCAGGTTTGGTTCCCCTCCTCCTGCATCCTGCGCTGATGCTTCAGTCAGCAGTGACTGTGGTGGGAGTGTGCTCCTCTCCTGGAGAGCAGGGCTCTTCCCCAGGGTTATGTGGGACAGCAGAGCACAGGAGGAGCCAGGGCAGGGCAGCTCAGCCTACAGGGCACGGCTCTCCCTGCTGTCCTAAGGGAGAGAGCTCTGCAAGGCTCTGCTTCCCTCCTGCTCCGACTCCTCCCACATTCGGAAGCACCTGCGGAAAAATATTTGTGCTACAGGAGGGAAAAAATAAAAATCACAGCTGCTGTGTTTTCAGCTAGAAAAGTCCTTAACGTGCTCATCAGGTCTGTGACTGCTACTGGACAAATGATGCTGTGGGTATCTCCCCTCCAGCTCTCAGAGAGGCTGAGGACAGTCCAGTCCCTCTTTAAGCAAATCCTCCAGGGAATCACAGTATCCCAAAGGGGGGGAAGCGTTGCCCATTTTTCCAGAGCCTGGCCAGCACCTGGGCTCTGGCCCTCCTTGCACATGTGCTTTCTATTCACATGATGCCTTAGGATTTTAGCTTTTATATTTGTCATGTATCTGTAATCCTGCAGTTCTTTAGTGTGTAACTCCAAACTCCACACACAGTGTGAGCTGCTGCTTTCCCATTTTGCTCAGACACAGCAATTCCTCTCCAGGCCTGGCAATCAAGGACACCTCACTGCCTCAGGCCTGAGAGATGGAAACAAAAGGGAGTTGGGGCAGCAAACTTGGGGTAAATGAGTTCATTCCCTGAAGCTGGAATTGGAAGATGAACCCCCAATGTGCAAATGGACCAAACTTATGAAAGTGTGAAAACCTGTGACCCATCATCCATTTTTGGGTGCAGCCCCTGGGGGCTTTGTCTGCCCTAAATGTACCTGAAGGCCCTTCAATAAATAGAATTGTTTCATATTCCCTTGATTTTGTCTGGGCTCTGTTTTTAGGTAGCCCCAAGAAGGTGTCACATGTAGGTGTCAGATCTTCAGTGCCAGAAGAGAGAAGAGAGAAGCGAGAAGAGAGAAGAGAGAAGAGAGAAGAGAGAAGAGAGAAGAGAGAAGAGAGAAGAGAGATGAGTCCTTCCTGCAGCTCTGGGCAGGGGAGCTGCAGCAGAGCCCAACCACGGGAGCTCGGATGAAGAAGCAAGCCGAGATCTGGAATGGGCAGAGCTCCTGCTACCGTCTGAGCAGGGAAATACAGAAACATCTCCCAGCAGCCTTTCACTGGCACTGAACACAGCTGGAGCCAAGAGAGACAATTCCTTGGTTATCCCGCACCTGGATTGATCCAAGGTGAATTCCCTCTTCCATCACTGACTTGTGTGGCTCCTGCAGCTCTTCTGGGCTCAGCTGTCTCAAGACTGATTTTCCCTTCCCAGTGTCTGAGGTGTTCCAGTGTTTATCTGTCACAATTTCTGCCTTTGGGAATGTGTGTGCCTCACACACCCAGCTCAGCCTCGGTTTATGGTGGCTATTCATACTCCAGAGTAATGTCATCGCCCCTTCCCCTTGATAGCAAAAGATTTTAAACTCATAGAAAATTTGGGGAATTAGAAAGAAAATTAGGCTTGGCAAGCCCTGGGAAAAGTGTTAAAAGTAGGCCCTGGGAAATGTTAGGCCTTGTGCTTGCTAAGATCATGTGAAACTGCACCTGTGTAATCAGTAGATGATAAATGATACAATTGTTAGATGTGATTAGATATAATTATTGTTTAAAGAACATGAGGAACAATGTTAGGGGTTTGGGGGGGATCATGAGAAATCCATGCTTGGGTAAAATCAATGCATAGAATAATGTAAATTTAGAACAATAGAACAATGTAAATTTAATAATTAATATGTAAGTTATATAATGATAGAGTATAAAACATGTTCAGCTCAAAACCAAGTCGGGTCAGATTTGGGTCTGTGTACCCCTGACACCCAGAGCTCTTCAATAAAGCAGCTGCATATAATCCTTCTGTGATTCTGTGTTCCTGAACACTAACACCCTTCCTGCCAGTGTGAGGGAATTGCTGGAAAACTATTTCTCCCCCAGTTTCTCCTGCCCATGCTGTACAAAGCCATTACCTCAGAATTAGCAACTTGTTAATTGACATAAAGAAATCAATGTGTAACACATCAAATGTCTCCTTGCTGCACTTTTTTCTTTTCCATAACACTTGGGGGACCAAGGGGGCAGAGTGGAAACCATGGCAAGGTGTTGGCTTTTCCTGCCTGTGATTGCTGCTCGAGGTAGATTTGACTCAACCCAGGGCAGGAGTCTGTGCAGAAAAGCAGAATATTGAGCCTTGCACTGATCTGCTTGGATGAACACCAGTCAATGATTTTAAGGCAGGGCCTCAGATTAATTTGTCAAGGAGGTAACAGAAGAGCAGGTTGTCTGTGAATTAAAGGGGAAAAAAGCCCAACCACACTAATACAGTGACACAAACTGGAATTGATTATATTTGCATTGTGACAAGTCATGTGAGAGGACTCAGCTTGTCAATGGCTCTGACTAATGACTTTCTAACCCCTGTGCTCACAAAATGATTTATCTGTTTCCAGCCAGCATTTCTAAGGTCGCATGTGCTGCCTACAGCTGTTCCAAAACCTGGCAGCAGAATGGGCTCTCCTGCAGGATTCATGGGTTTTGCCTGTGTGTTGCTTTCGGTGAGCTGGCTATTTCCAGCCAGAACCTGGGATGCAGATCATGTTTGAGCAGGTGGTTTGCCCAGGCAGGTGTTTATTTTACCAGGGCATCTTTACACACCACTCCTGGGCTGTGCACGGTGCTGAAACACAGGAGAGCCCTTCATTCAGGGCATCCCGAGCTCGGGGTGAACACAATGCTGGCTCCCAGGCCCTGGTACTAGAGGAAATTCTAAACTTGTGTTTCTTGGCAGCCCATGAATTGTTTGCACTGCCAAAGCTGTCTTTGAGAGCCCATGTGCACTGTTTCTGCTGCCTGGAGGGGTTTGCAGAAGTTACAGGCACAAAGCTTTTCAAACCAGCCAGGGGGTTTTGGATGAGGATGAGTCCAGCCCCCCTGCACGACCCAGAGGGTTTGTCCTGCTGCAAGCAGCTCTGGAACAGGTTACCCCAACAGCCTGTGCCCCTGCTGTGGCTGCCAGCCCTTCCCAGGGCACTGGGCTCTCAGAGAAAGAGGCAGATTTGCTGTTCTGCTCCTCACAGCTTGCTCAGCTTGGCTGCTGCTGCCTCCCAGGCTCTGCCTCGCTGCTGCCATTTCCAAACCTCCATAAATTCTGTCATTCTCCTGAAGTGATCTGGGCTGAGGGATTACAGCTTCCCTGCTGTGGCATGGATCCTGTGAGCTGCTCTGGAGCTGCACACTCAGCTCTAGGGGCAGTAACACGCTCTCCAGGCTCTGCTGACACCACCAAGGCCATCCTAGAGCATCCCTGCTCTCTGCAGCAATCCCCAGCTGGCAGATTTCTGCCTTTCAAGAATGGGACAGGACATGGGGGGCACAGCCACCTCCTGCCATCCCCTGGGGCACTGTGGTGAGGCCAAGGAAGCAGAGATGAACCCCCTGACCCAGCTGTGTGCCAGGGCACACCTGCATCGTGCTCCTGATTCCCCAGGAAAGCAGCAGCCCTCTTTTTGCTTCTGCCTTGGGCCCTGCACAGTCCTTCACAAGAAAGCTGTGAAACCTGTATCAAAACAGAAAGACTTCTCAGAAAGGAGATAATTAAGACTAAAGATGAATGTGATTGGAAACTAGATAGCCCTCATTTTCTAATGGTTGTTTTCAGAATTCAGATTTCTTGTCGACAGTGTGCTGTAATACATCCCAGCTCCTGTGGTACTCACTGGAAATGGCTCAGAGCAAACCCTTCCCTCTGGCCATTCCCTGCAAGCCTCAAACAAGACAGGGGAGGAAAACCAGATCTGCTCTTAGTGGTGAAAATGCCCATCACGTTTAAGGAAACTGTGACCTTGAAGCAATACAGTGGGAATGGGAGCCATTTCCAAGAGTTTAAGCATCCCTGCATATCCCCCGTGATGACAACCAGGGCAGAAATCAGAGCATGGAAATACAAATGTCAAGTGAAAGGATACAATTTGCCATGCCTGGCTGAAACCAAGCACCCTGATCTCCCAGCACAGTTTCACTCCTGTCAGTGCCGGGGATAATCTCAGTTACAGGCAGGAGCTGAAAGCACCATTAAAGGCTTACAGAGCGTTCCCTGTAATTTAGGATCTACTAAAAGCACAAATGTCTGTTGTTCAGTTCCTTAAATATTAAGCTGGCATGTGAAGCTTATTTTGTTCTCTTTTTCCTCTCTCTCTTACACACACCAGGGATTTTGCTGCTTCTGCACTTTGCTGCCCTGAGGGATCCTGGGCAGCAGCACAAGCAGCTGGGAGCAGCCTGGGGCAGGAACAGGCATGGCACAGGGGATGGGAGGCAGGAGAGAGGCTCTGAGGCTTCTTCCCCTGCACCTCCCTTCCCTCCTGGCTTCCCAAACGAGCCCAGGTGCATCCACAGGACCATCCAGCTCTGACTTTACCTATTCATGGAAAATCCCCCTTCCTGAAAGGATCATTTAGATTCAGACAGAAAAAAATTCATATTATTTTCTCATGTTTTGGAGTTTCTGCAGGACCAGACAGGAAAGACAGCTCCTGACCATCTGGTAGGAAGGGTCACAGCCCCTGCCAGCACCGTGTCCCTCTTCCACAGCACCGTGGTTCCTGATGGAGCAGCTCAGGTCACTGCAGAGATCCCACTGCTCCCTGCATTCACAGAGAGCTCTGCTGAAGCTGCTGTGCTCTGCTGCTGCCTGAGCTGCTGCTCTAACACACCCTGCCCAATGCCCACAGCTGTCCTGAAGACAGACAGCTCTCCTGAGCCCAAATGTAACATTTTCTGTGGTGGCTGCATCAGTGGGAAGAGGATTTCACGCAAAAACTTGGGCCCCTCAGTGCTGCTGCACAGGTGCAGCTCCAGCAGAAATAAAGGTTCTGCTGGCACTGGAGAGGGCAGAGCCAGGAGAGCTTGTCCAAGCTCTGGGGATCACTCTGCCACGTCAGACAGCACAACCTTCGACAGGAAAGCAGGTTTGCTTGCTGTTTTTTGCCCTTGGAGGAACTTTGGAGAGCCTCTCTTGCAGGCAGGACCTGCTCCAGCCCCAGCTGCTGGGAATACTTTGCAACATCAGCAGCTCTAAAACAGAATTTTTACCTTTAAAAGATGGAAACACACTGAAATCCTATGAAATCCAGCCCTTGCCTGCACTTAGGGGACTGGTCCGTGGTGATGCAGGAGAAGCAGCTGTTCCCAGCAAAGGATTACCAGGGAGGACTGAGCTGGCTTTTGTGGGGAATTAAAGGTATTTGTAACAAGACAATGGGCTGGGGGGGTGTATGGGAATTAATTTAAACATCTCCACTGATTTAATTTGCTTCTGCCCAAAGTCCCTGAGCAATAATAAGCTTAAATTAAATATTTACATCTACAAATATAGCCCACAGAATGATGATCTTTATCTAACTCCCTCTAATCTTTCAGGTGCTCGCTGCACGAGGTGAGCCCGAGCCAGGTCTGGGAACACGGATGGGGCTGGAGCCTGGGGAGGGCTCCCAGGGTGCAGGGACCCAGCTTGGAGGAGTTTAGGGGGTGGATGATCCCTTTGTGCTGGGAGGGAGTCCTTGCCTGTCCACAGGCTGGTCCCCAAGGAGGAGCTGCCACGTTCACCAGTCTCTCCCAGCATCATCACTGGAGCAGCCAGTGCTGGTCCATCGCTCCCCAGGACTTGTGGCTAAAGGCAGATGTTCTTCACAAAGGAGAAAAACCTCTGCACTGGCACTTCCAGCTGCCTGATGGTGTTTGGTACCAAATGTTCCACTGGGGTAGCAATATTTAAAGCTAATATTCCTTATCTTGGCAAAAATAATAAAAGCTCATGGTCATTAATGGACTGGCTTTGCTTTGTGTCCAGGGTTATCTGCATGTCACGGGTCTCTCTTACTGTTTCTGTTTGTTAAGTTACATCTTCCTGCTTTGCCTGATCCTGCCAGCAGCCTGGTTATATGTGACTATTTTCTTAGCAGCCCATTTTGGCAGGGTTCACTTTTCTGCTTTCAGAAGAGAAGCACTGATCTTCAGAAACCACAGCTCCCACACTGACCATGGCTATCAGCTGCTGCTAATGCTCACCCCTCCATAGAATTCCTGCAGATTTAAATCCTAGGACCAATCTCATCGAGCTAGGTCAATCTTTCCTAGTTTTAGTTAGGGGTAATTCAAAGTATCCATTATCTTCACTCTGGAAAACTTCCCTCATTTGTCATGCTGTCATAGGGTTTTAGCTTTTATATTTTTCAGACCCTGTACTGCTTTAGAGTCTAACTCTGAGCTCCATGGCCTGTCAGCCCCTGTTCTCCCATTTTGTTCAGACAAAACAATTCCTCTGGGCCTGGAAGCCAAGGACACCCCACAGCCTCAGGCCCTGAAAGAATAAACAAAAGTGAATTGGGGGGAACAAACTGGGGGTAAATGACTTCATTAGCTGCAGCTGTAATTGGAGCATTAACCCCTGAGATGGAAATGGACCAAACTTGTAATTGTCTGAGAAACTTGTGACCATCTTCCAGCTTGGGTGCAGCCTCTGGGAGGTTTCTGACTGCCCAAGGTGTGCCTGTTGAAGGCCTTCAATAAACACCCACTGTATTCTCTTAACTCTGTCCAGCCCCTGCTCTGGGGATCCATCCCAAGGCATCACCTCCAGCCGTACACACCTGAGTATGACCTTTAAAGCCCTGGTAGGCTGGAGCCTGTCACCAGGACAGTCCCAGGAGAGGCAGTTTCCAGGGGTGGCAGCACATCTGACAGCAGAGGAGTTCTAAAGGTGATCGAGGTGATCATCAGCTTCTGCCTGCTTTGGGGTCACAGTCAAAAGGCAGCTGAAGAACCAACTCACCTGTCTGACAGCACAGGGCAGCTTCCCACAGGAATAGACAATGATGGCAAAAGGGATTACGAGGCAAAAGATGAAAAGACAGATGATGTAGGACGCGTTGTTGGCATCCTTGGAATGCCAGTTCACAGAGCAGGTTATCCCTGGTCCTTCAGGCCCATAGCTGCTCCAGCCAAAAAGAGGGGAAAGAGCCCAGAGCAAGGAGTATGTCCAGGACAGGATGATGCCTGTCCATGTTTTCCTGTAGTTGGTGGTGTCAGCCTCTGTTCTTCTGGTCATGGTGCAGTAACGCTCGTACGAAAGCACAGCCAGGGAATGAGTGAGATGATGCCTGTACCAAAGCAGACACTTGTGTCAGCAAAAATGAATGAGTGAATGAAGGCTTTGCTCTATCTCCCCCCAAAATATTTAATATTTCAAATATTTCAAGCTATGGATGAGACTGATGGCACTGGCTTTGGAAACAAGGTGGGCAAGGACTGGCACTGGAGGTGTCCCCCTAAGAGCAAGAGGTGCTGAGGGCCTGACCCCACTCACCAAAAGCTGGGGGTGTTTAAACACCAAAACCAGTCAGTTATAAATGCTGATCAATAATTAAGCACATCTGTCTGAAGGGATACATGTGTGTGTGTGCGTGACCTGCAGCGAAATCCTGGCTTCTCCATCAGATTTGGTTCTTGCTGCACCTGTAAAATGTGAGATTCATACCTAGATTTGCCCAAAGTGTGGAGCTGATCTAGTGCTCCTCCACCAGCTCTGAAGTGCAGCCTTCTGAACCCTTCTTGGGGAAGTGCAGCCCCACAGGGTTTTCGTGCTCTGCATAATGAAGAGCTGTAGATGAAACCCTTGTCCTGAAGCCCCCTGTGCCAGCAAGTGCCCCGGTGTGCCCTGCTCAGGGGGGCAGGCAGCTCCTGAGCCTTTGCAGAGACACTTATGGGTCTCCTGCAATTGGGGTACTGCCAGCAGACACCAGTGGGGCAATAAAACCACTGGCAGTAAATCAAAGGCTTCTTTTGCATGCAGAAACACTGGAGGGGAAGCAGTTTCTCAAGCTGATTTAAGAGTTTGCAGTTTCCCTCCACACACACCTCCCAGGCAGCATTGTGGAAGCGGTGCTGCAGGTACCAGGGGATGCTGCTGCATGCTGACACACTCCTGCTAAACTTTCCTCGCCGAGTAAAGGTTTCACATGCACACATTTGACTTGTTACCCTGCATCACTTCAAGAGGGAAAGAGATGGCAGCAAACATCCAAACTGCAGCTGCTGCAAACATCTCTTTAGAGGGTGCATAAGCAGTCTCGGTGTCTTTTCTAACATAACGAGGCTGGTTCTGTGCTCCGTTGTCATCCTTTAAAGCCTGTAGGGCTCTTCCTCAGCCGCTGGAAACGCGGTGTGGAGCCTGAATGAGGACTCACACTTAACGCTGCCTGGGGGCTGCTGGGCTTTTCCCAGCAAAACAACCACAGAAGCTGGGAGAGTTTCACCCCAGCCCGGTGCTCCTGGCGTGCCGGGTGTCCGCTCCCCACTCACAGCCCGAGCTTCTCCCGCCTGTGCGCACCGGGGCAGCAGCCACCGCACCTGGGGGCTGGGCTGGGCACCCTCGGTGGGGCTGGGCTGGGCACCCTCTGTGGGGCTGGGC